CTTATCAACACATTGTGTTGGAGTTCACTGCTTGTTTTAAGTTGTATCTAAATTTTTCTTGAAATAAAGACAAAAATCGCAACTCGAGTTTGACTTTCCTTTATTCCAAAGCGTGTAGTTTCCTTACCCAGACGAATTTTTGCATTCTGTAAAAACCAGCATCTCCAGTAGCTTATCAGCTTTCAAACAAGCCCAAGAAAACTTCATTACGACGCTCGGTTCGCCTTCTATGACAAAAGTCCGGTTTCTTTTGGGACAGCCCTCGTACGTCCGTATGGTTGCTCCACTGACGTGGGGAGTAGGGGCGTATCTGGATTTCCATGTAAGTCCCGGAGAGTAGGAAGTTATACGGATACTGGGGTCCATCTCCCGTCCTACGCAAAAACGACGTATATGCATTCGAAATTTGCCAAATTTCCTCCCGAATCGTATTTATTTATGAAGATAGTTATGAATATGTTTCGTCGAAAGTTTCAGATTTTTTAGATTAAATGGTCGTATTTCTATCAAACAGAACTATGTGGAGGTGGGAAAGATGGGGTCTGCTCGTTAGTGCTCGGACCATAAGAATGAATGGGAAATATAAAGCGCCAGTGACGAAGCCGTCGTCGCGGCTCCTCGTGGTGGGCATTTAACTCATGAACCCTGGCCACAACGCTCTAGACACATGCCCATGGCTCAAACACTTTGTACATAGTTCCGTTTGATAGAATGTAAAATCCCGCTTTTCCAATTCAGCAAACGGAATTGTGAGCCAACTGAGTTCGGCACCCATGAGCCATGGGCATGTGTCTGAAGCGTTGTGGCCAGGGCTCATGAGTTAATGCTCACCACTCCGAGCCGCCACGACGGCTTCGTCACTGGCGTTTCATACTTCCCATTTATTTTAAGGCCCGAGCACTAACGAGCAGACCCCATGTTTCCCACCTGAACATAGTTCGCTTTGATGGAGTAACGTCCAAATTACGAACGAAATCCTCTGACCGATCGGAAGTGAAATATTCACATATTTCCCTGAAAATTCGTGATTTTTCGAAGGAAATTTGGCGACGTCTAGTGGCGCTTACGGCGTTCTTGCTCAGTGCGGCAGTCATCCTGAAGTAGAGTTACGTCTTTACGTCATACGGGTGACATACGGACGTTCAACAATTTGATTGACCGACAGTGGTATAGTTGGACTGAACACACTCACTCACACAGAGCTCATTTTAGAAACAACCTGTGTACCGCATCAGTTTCCCAATGCGGATAGGTGCTTTAATATACGAGCCAGAAATTGTAGATCCTCATTGCAAAATGCAGTCCAGTTGGATGACATTGGCCAAAATCAGCCTAACTCTATTTTATTTTGCCTAATTGGATAATCAGCCAATCCTTGTGAATTCGGAACGATAATTTCTGGCTCATTCGTGGAAACACTTATGTGCATTATACTAATGTCGTACGTTTTTCCGAAACTGAGCCTGAAATTGTAGTTCTTAATTGCGAAATGTAGTCCAATTACCTACCTCTTATTTTTGTTGGTTTAATAGGATACTAATTAACGTGTCGCATTGAAACGTACTTACAATTTCATTTAGATGCTGAGGAATTTTTTCACGTCATTCAAAAGCAGGGTGTTACATATATGCTTTTTGTTCAATAAAATAATGAAGGGAAACTTGACAGCGTGTGATTCAGTTAGGTTCACCTTGCTTACATTCGTCCATTCCGCATAGCTCTTTCCAGAAAAGTACTCACTTTTCGAATCGGCTCATAATACGAAATAATGATGTGAGAAGGAGTGACTTATCTGGAACGGGTTATTAACGCTTTGTTGAAATTGAACACAGCTATATTCAATGATTGATGAAACAGTCTCTAGTTTTAGCAATAAGGAATGGCCCACAGAAAAGCTGTTTTCCTCGTCAAAATCTCCAGCAGAACACGTTAAACTACCATAAAAATATCCAAAATCAACACATAGGGGAGAGATGGAGCTTTAATTGTTCACGCCAGAATCAGAGAATTTTAACTCCCCGCTTGCAAGAAAAACCGACGTCAACGAATGTCATCGACTTTTAAATCACAAATTGGGGGCTCTTACTTTCGATTATCGTAATAAAGTCGGAAAATAGTCTGCGCGCTGAGAAAATTATTTAGTCATAATAATGACTAAAATGAGCCGAGTCGGAAGTTTGAATCGACCAATAAGAAACCGCTTATAATTTACTCACTTAAAATTTAAAATTGGAAATTTTCAATTATTCCACCTCGTTAGTAAATTTTAAGCTCATACGGCGTTCTTCCTTAGCACGGCAGCATATAATACGAAGTAACTGTGATCAAAAGTCCAAGAAAGCATGGAAATGAGTGTTTATGTTATATTAATGATTTTAAATTTGGTATCAGACCCAAACGTCGTAACACGATTCTGTAACACTCACAACTAAACTTTGTGACCAAAAGTTCGCTGAAGTATTCGTAGATATAAGACCTTCACAGCTCAAGCGGTGATGAAAGAAATTCCCAGCCCTTGAGCCAGAGAAAGATTTCCAACAAGCGCAAGCGGAGAGCTAAGCGATGGCAACAATAACAATAAGCCTTCCGTAAAACAGAAAATACTCGAGGATTTTTCCACAGATTCAATCTACTTACCTCAGCCCTCATGCGGGGATTACACTGGTGGTGCTTAGTTCCGAGTTTCCTCCCGTCTTTTTCTAAACCTCCTCCCGATAAAAATTAATTCACCTCTGATGGCTCTAATGCGGCATCCGTATCTGCTTGTCTTTGTCTTTGCAGTGCAGTAAGTAGCCTGACGCTTCTCAGGCGCAGATTACTATCCTGTCGTGCTAAGGAAAAACGCCGTATAAACCTTCAGACGTTGCCAAATTTCCTTTGATAAAACGCGGATTTCCTGGTAATTTTATGAAAATTTTCCTCCCGATTTTTCAGGTAATTTTATTCGCAATTTCACCTAAAGATTCTGAAAATTTAAAGGGAAAATATTCATAACTTTCCTCAAAAATAAACGTTTTATCGAAGGAAATTTGGCAACTCTCAAATGTTCATACGGCGTTCTTCCTTGGCACGGCAGTAAGCTCTTGCATGTGTCAGGAATTTGCGATATAAGTACTGATTCCTTTGTGAAATTTCACGAGAAACACTATGATGTCATTGGTTCTCTCTGAAATCAATTCCAAAGCTCAAAAAAAGCTCTCAATGTTGAGACGGTAATGGAGGAAATATCCTGCGCTACTCTGAGAGTCCACCTCTAGATCGAGACAAACTCTGTGCAAAGATAAGAAGTAAATACATAAGCAGGGTTGCCGTGTTTTCAGCTTTGGTGGACCTTAAACAAAGTGGCAATGTATTTGCCCCCTACCAATTGCATAGAGGGTTTGTCCTGATATAGAGGTGAAGAAGGTCTAAGAAAATATTTAAGGATTGTGCGAAACAGGCATAAAGATTGCGCGAATGGAAACCTTAAATTCTGCTACAGGAATGTGCGAATTTTAAAATGAAGTTAATTTAAGGTAGAAAGGCAAAGCAGGTAACAATTGGAAAATAAACGCATTATTATGTTACGCTAGTTCAGGTTAGTTTGTTGACAAATTATCGATTTCTTACCCTCTGATGATAAATGAAGTGATATGATTGAATGTTGGTCGAGGGTATGAAGAACTTACCTTAATTTTTTTCGGGAAAAAATATTTACTTGGAAGAAACAATGCAACGTTGAAATGCTTATGCGGCGTCAAAATACAACATGGACCTTTTAAGTTCTATTATTCGATGCCGCGATTATTGTAACAGGAGTTCGGAGAATCGCGCCAAACAGTGCCTTCGGCGTTAAACGTGTATTAGCTCCTGCAAGACTGTAAGAATACTTTAAGTACTACGCCAAACAGTGTGGTCGGCGTACAGCCCCTATCAGCGCCTACAAGACTGCATGAATACTTCTCGCATTGAGGCAAACGCAGTGCAGTCGGTCAGTTGGCCTGAGACGCATATCAGCGCCTACAAAAATGTATAGGAATGCTGTTGGACTGCGTGTCATCATTTTCGACTTTCTGCTCAAGTTTTTACCATAATTAAAGGGGAAATATGTATCCTCATTGTAACGATTCATAAACTCAGATGAGATTTAATTTTGTTTTGGTTACATTAAAAGAAAATTGAACGAACAAAAACATCGTGTCGAAATGTTCGATACTTTTATTTGAGAGCATTTAGGCAAATTCGCGGAAACTTTTCAGAAAAACTGGGTTAGCTTTTGAAAAACAAATATTAAAAATAAAACATGAAAGTGGCGGTGCATAACGTTGCAATCAGAGATAAATATACGCTTTTTTGGTGTATCCGTCGTGTTTTGAATCCATCCATCTCCTAAAAAACTTGGACATGGTTGTTCTACGATTTTAACGTGTGGTTTTTTTCAGGAGTTGGTGGCCAGAGGCCCCCAGTTCACTTTTTAAATGTCTACGAAAGCTCTCTGGGCTATTTGTGCTGCGAAGGCTATCCAAAGGGGCTATCCATCGAAGAGAGACACGCCCGTAAATGAATAGGGAATTAATAGTCTTCCGCGATGTAGCTATCTACCACAAACTACCAAGGTTGCCAAATTAGCGCTACCTCTTTGAATACTGAATATTCACGCAAATATGTGAGTTTCCATTACCAGAAAAATTCGCGCAATCCTATGCATATCCAAAAAGATAAAAGAGCGGGCATTCGGGCAATTCTATCGCAGCCATTGATTTGATCGCTGTTGATAAAAGAAACGACGTAATAAAGGAGGTCCTCATTATTAGTGTTCACTCAAAAAAAGTTATGACTCTGAGACCCATAAAAAATGGCTCGGAGATCCATAATTTCTAACCAAAGTGACTTACCGTCTACAGTGTGGCTTTCTGGCCATACTTTATTGGTTGTGAACCTATAAGCATGGCTCCACAAACTATATTTCATGGCTCTTGCTCTCAAACTTGTTTTTTGAGTGTTTGTTTTTCTTTTTGCAGACGAAGATCGGGACGTGGGAGGTTCGGATGTCGGCTGGCTCTGGGGAGCTCCTGGCCACTTTGAGATCCTTCCTCATCGTAACTCACTGGCACTCCTTCACCATCATCTCTACGATCACCCCACTCTCCAACCCTCTGCTTTCTCTCCTTCGAAAACCACCTCTCCTCCCGACCATCTTCCAACTACGCACCGATGCTACGCAACATGCAATTTTTCGGTAAGTCTCAATTCTTCATTCTTCAAAACGAATAAAAAAATATACAAATAAATCATTTTTTTAAAAAAAATGCGATGAAATACTCAAGACGACAGGGATGTGGAAACGTATTTTCGCCTATCGCGTTGGGTCGGGTAGAGCATGTGAATTGAATTCAGTGAATCCGTGTTTTCTGATTAATCCGATCCTCATTTTCGGGGCTCACCAAACGGATGGATGGTGCCCACCGGGGTCATGGTTGGGGTCAACCCGTACCCCGTGAAATACTGGGGGTTTGGTGACTGGCGAGAAACTCTGGGATTGGGCCGTGCCGGTGGATGGGTCGGTCGCCCCACTCATGGCACCACCTGATGTAGGCAATTTCATCGGACTCATGACGATCGGACCAGACTAACGCAAAAAATCCCTTGCTTTCTGGCCAAGATGGAAATCTCGACGAGAGAACCTGTCAAAAACGAAGGTTAAAAAGTACCGCCAATTGAAATGGTTTATTAATAAACATTTGATCCAAGTCCCAGAGCCATTTGTTGACTAGACCCATTCAAAATTGATGAAAAATCCTCGGCAGTTTTGTACCAAAAAGTTTAAAACCTCGCTAGGAAGATCAAGATTATTCTTCTGTATGGGTATGTAATGAGAGCAAAGTACGGAATTATATTTAAGGAGCTTGGAGTACAGGGCGCTTAAGTACAGTTTTTGAGAGAGTTGAGATATTATTGATTTCAAGTAAAACTCGTCTTAAAGCATTATCTGTGAAAAATTCTCTCCTTTTCAATTTTCAAGCATCGAAAAGTCAGTTTGAACTTTCGTTCCGCCATAAGGATCTGTGTAATTTCGAAACTTCAAACACATATTTCTCGCAATAGCAATAACTGCACTTATGCGTCTTGTCCTCCAAGCCCCTCATTTCATTTGTATTCACAACTTGCATAAAAGGGAAATACGACTAGAAGGCGCTTTTGAAATTAAGGAGTGGACTTTATTTCTAAAAAAATGTTACAACAGTTTCACTTGAGGAAAATTGGTATGAAGTACATAAATCATGAATTTATGAGAAAACTTGTAAATAAGTAAACTAAGCAACATATATTCTGACGTTTGTGCTTATGTGTCTTAAAGGCGACTCAGCTTCGAAAATTTGATCTGTAGCAGGTGTTAGTATAATTAAAATTTATTTGTTAACGACGACCAATTGGTTTGCACGTAAACTTACCGTAAAACATCTTCATTACTTGCCGAGTAAAATCATTCAACTTTTGAGCTAGTTGAAATGATTAGATGTAAATGATCCGAGTGGCTCCGGGACGGATTACAGTGCCCGGAGCCGGCCACTCGAAGCACGATTCCATTTGCTCGAGCTCAAAAGTTACAAGTATTTGTGAACGTTCGGGTTGTTCGATGGTCAGCCCTCTCCGACAAACTGGAGCGAGTGAAAACAGTGGAATTGTGCAGCTTGGCGCGGCAGCCGGGCAGCGCTCCCGCCCGCTTGATAAATCCGTTTAGTTGAAAGTATTTATCTTTTGAGAACAAAGTTGCTTTCGGAATTAATTAGTCTTATCTAAACTGGCTGCATGGTTTGCAACGCTCGTTTCGGGTTTAGAACGCTGCTCGCTCCGTGTTCCGGCGGATTTTTTTCTCATTTTTTCCTGTTTCGTTTATTATTTCCGCCCGTTGCCTTCTCAGGCTCGTCGCAAGGAGCTGGGATATCTGTGTCAATGAAATAATTCAACACGATGGGAAGTTTTTCTGCGCACATTTGCCAGACTTCATTGGAGTCTCGCCGCTAGTTCGACGTAGTTCTGCGTGTCTCTGCAGGCCTCCTGATGTGGAGCCGTTGTAGCGCTGGCCCTATGACCAACAAGTCCCGGGTTCGATTCCCTGCCAGCGGGCCGATTATTGAAATTTATAGTCAAAGCTGTAGACAAGAAAGACATAAGGTTATAGAGCGATCCTATTGGTTAAAATGGGTGGTTCTTACACGGAGAACCCGTGCGTGGGACCCGAAGTTTAGGTCATATATGAGTATGCGATATGCGATATGTGATATGCAGATGTGAGAACCGAAGTTTTTCGGATGTGAGAACCGAAGTTTTTCGGATGTGAAACCCGAAGTACTTCAGATGTAAGAACTAAAGTTTCAGATGTGTGATCCAAACCTCAGCAGCTGGACCTGAAGTGTTCGGATGCTCAATCCGAAAACTATAGAGATCCATATGACCTAAACTTCAGGTCCCACGTACGAAGTTTTTTTCTCCGTGTATGGACTAAAGGCGTAAATGATGCACTAACTATCGGGTCTCTCGTGGGTTGCCGTCGGTGGGTTCTATTACCTACGTCCTTTGTCCATTGCAGCCACCCTGCCACCCGCTTCCACCAATAGGATCCCTCCATATCCTTTTTGTCTTCTTGATCTATTGCTTTGTCTATCGATTTCAATAATCAGCCCACATGTGAGCTTTTGAAAATTGATAAAACGAAAAAAAAAAACAAAACAAAAACCAAAAAAAATGCTGAGCGTCGATGGCCAATGCCGAACCAAGTACTTCCATTTCTGTATTTCAACTTTCCGACTCCAATTTTATTTTTGAAGAGAAACAAGTGAACCTTATGACCTGCAATTTACAGAATTTTCTGCGAGTAGAGAACAAAATCAAGGAAGTTTTCAAGAACTTAAGTTGATTAGCTTTCCAACGAAAACATGAAGTGAACGCGGCAGAATAAGGGTAACGCCTAACGCATCACGCCTGAGGCGCGAAGCCCTTCGGGGGTTGGACTGCGAAGCGGTCAGAGGGCGCCTAATGTATCAATGAAAGACACAGAAAGTTAAAAAAAACTACCTTCCATTATTCATACTTCCAGTGTGGCATGGCAGGTGGGCACAAGATCGCATTTCGGAAGTCGAATCTTAGGGACGAAGAAAAAATAATGGAATTTAACCGAGCGCCTGACAGTAACGGAAATAATATGAGACCGTAGACGCAGAATTGACGTGATCCCATTGAGTCATTTCCTCCCTTTATGTCAGAGCATTATCACGTGCGGGAAAACTCAGGGTGAGAAATGTTTTTTCATTGCAAAGTTGACTGCGTGCAACAAGCTTCGTGTTGTAGACCTTAAAAATTTGAGCAAGTTACGAGTGTTGCGGGTGGCGTAATTTCCTCAAAATTGAAGGCGCGGGAAACGCTAATTTTCAGTTAAGTGCGCAATAACTTAAAGTCTCTCATGGATTGCATAACCCGTGACTGCGACTAAGAATCTAAAAACTTTAAGATCCTCACACCGTTCTAAAAATGGGGCTTTTTTTGAAAGTGCATCAAAAAGCTTTTGTCTAAAGACGGTAAAGTCATTTAAGAACCAACTTCATAGCAAGGGTGTAAATATCACACCACGGTACGTAGTTTGCTAACAATTACGAAGAGAGAGCAAAAGGTGAGGGGTATAGGGGCGAGTGTAAAGGGGTGGAGTGTTGCAAGAGGGGGAAGGAGAGGGGGAGAGAGAGAGAGAAAGAAATAAAGAAAGAAAGCGAGAAAAAGGGAGACAAATGGGGG